CACACAAATTGTTATCCCGTAGACCCTGCATTTTTTGATAACGCGATGCCTGAATGGACGAAATGTTGCATGCATCCGCTCTAACGAAATTACAGTGATGTTTGTAAGAGAGGTTAGAGGAAACCAATAGAAAAGAAACCAAGTTATCATGTACCCTTCCCAAGCTAACCTTACATTCACAGTTTTGCATACAATGTCTGTATTAATTAAGAGTAGATTTATAGTAGAAAGTCCTCCAACCAACAAGTCAGCTGTGGTCAAGTTTATAACCAAGTACATGCCACGAGTGCGAAGATTACTGTTTTTTATGAAAAGAATGATTGATAAGAGATTCACTGTTACTATAGCAACAGCCACGGCAAGGAAGGCAGCAAACCAGAAAATGCACTCGGATGAGGAAAACATCGTGGATTTTTCTTTTCGCTTCCCACCTTTTAATTCTCGTCTTCTTTCAGGTTCGGCTACCTATGAAAAGAATTCGCTGAGTAAGTAAAGGTTGCTTATTTGGACGAGAAAAGTTAAGAGGTGACTTCAAATCCTCAAAGATCTGCAATGGAGATATATTCAAAGGGCGCTCACCTCAATCCTAAATAAGCTATTCCTTGATTTCGTCACAAAAATTGAATCAAAAGTCTTTCTTTTACCTTTGGAAAAAAAAGTAGTGCTTGAGATTAGAGTAGGATGAATTTGTTGGGAGAAAATATGGGCAAAAAAATTTATATTCAACCTCGGTTTATACTGGAGCTGAATATTTTACTTACTTATTAAAGGTAAACCTAAAAAAGTCGGCGCTCCTTTGTATGAATCACTAAGTCCGGCAGGAATTCAGTGTCACCTGTTGTAGCAGTGTCATGAAAATGATCACCATTAAACGTCCTCTAAGATCATCAGATATCAAGAGTGAGGTGAGAGAAAATATTGCATGTTAGCCTGAGAAAACAGCCGTCATTAAGTGACGCTACCACTGGTTTCCCCGCTAGATGACGTCTGAGAAACGGGCGCAGAAATTCCATATGAAAATAAACTCGAACTTTGCTATTTTTGTTGACTGACTCCAATAAATGGGCTTGGTGACAAATCGCTTCAACCCAACAAAAAGGTGAAACCTTTACGACAACGATGATAAGTGATTATAATTTTGTCTCTTAGTAACCACACTAGGGCTTGACGACGATTTCTTAGAAACTAACCTCTTTATTCATTAGTTAAACATTTTTTTAGGAAGTACAGTCGGTGTTGAACAAAACCGCCAGCTAATGGCCCCTCATGAGATCCTCGTAAAGCGCTTGCGCTAGCCCGGTTTTCGNAAAAGTCTTTCTTTTACCTTTGGAAAAAAAAGTAGTGCTTGAGATTAGAGTAGGATGAATTTGTTGGGAGAAAATATGGGCAAAAAAATTTATATTCAACCTCGGTTTATACTGGAGCTGAATATTTTACTTACTTATTAAAGGTAAACCTAAAAAAGTCGGCGCTCCTTTGTATGAATCACTAAGTCCGGC